TGTCAATGAATTATCATCTAGCCACAGGTGTCTAAGGGAGACCAAGCCATTGAAGCAGTTGGGGGGTACATAGTTGATGTGGTTGGCATCCAGACGCCTAGGAGAAAAAGAAACAGAGAAAATTGTCTTCAAGTGAAGAGAAGTGGCTTTGCACAATGGCTATAAGAAGTTATCACCATGAACATAACCCCAAAGGATGGACATGGGTTGCCACTTCAGTTTTCATTTCCTGGAGATTCTACCTTCCCATCTTGCTTGCAGCCTCATCCTTGAGATCTCAAATTGTGCTTACACATCTGCTTGTCAGCTGGCTCTGCAGAGACAGCTCTTCTTTGGAGCCATCAACTCACTGAGAGCACACACTGATCATTTTTGAGCAAAGTCTCCCTGAAGACTGGCTATGACTTTGTTTCCTTTCCCAATTGTTTGAAATCGTGGAACAAAGAAGTGCAAGGAACTCATCCAGAGATTCTCTTTCAGAACTTACAAATCATTGAGCTGCAAGATAATTTGGATTTCCATATGTTAAACACCCATTCCAAGACCCATAAACAGATCTCACTTTTGAGTCTCTGGAGATTCCAGCTTTACCTTTTCTTAAATATTACAGCTATAGAATCACAGAATAAACTGTGTGGGAAGGGACCCACAAGGATCATCGAGTCCCACTCCTGGTCCTGCACAGGACCATCCCAAGAGTCACATCATGTGTCCAAGAGCATTGTCCAAATGCTTCTTCAACTCTGTCAGGCTTGTTGCTGTGAACACTTCCCTGGGGAGCCTGTTCCAGTGCAAATACTGTTCATCTTAGTGATTCTAATGAAAACTGAAGTTCACATTTTTTTAGTAGTGGAACATAATGTTTTTTACCTAGAGATCAGTATTGCCAATGTGATGTATTTGTATTGAAAAAGAAGTTACTAAATGCATTTCAGCTGCTGCAGAGCCAACAGAGGGAGCTCAACTGCACATTGTACCTTTGCAGAGTATGGTGGTGATGCTTTGTTGCCACATTTGTGTAATTAAGGATTAAATTTAGTGAACCTTTTTCAGATGTGGTGCTACATATATAATGTCATCTATTCACTGGCTTTTGTTTTTGCTGTGTTTTGCTTTTTCATTGTTATTCTTTGGGAAAGATTTAAAAGTGCACTTCAGATTTCTGAAACTTTGTGAAACACTCGGGGATGTGGGCCCTTGATACACTTTTTCTGCTTTTAATGTGTTGCAGTGACTTATACCTTTTCCCTAACATGAAAGCTGTCCTTAAAAATTGTCATGAAATGTTTAGAGAGGAGCAATTAAGTGAATGGCAATAGAGAAATAAATTTAAATATATGTTTGAAAATACTAAGAACAAACAGCCACACCTGGGGTACAAAGGAGTAATTCTGTACAACCTAAATTTGGTCTCTGAGAGAAATGCAATACTCTTTGTGGTGGGCATATTAATCTCTTTATTTAAAGCTGCTTTCTCATTTACAGTCATGTAAAATGTCAGGTCCATTCTATCTCCTGTTCCATGCTGGCCCTACCTACTGCATGAGAACAAATAATGACTGCTAAGGCTCCGTGCCAGGCTGGCAAATAACTGAGACAAGGTCAGTTGGAACAAATTTATAAGGTTCAGTGTCAAAGCCCTTGTACAATTAAATTTTCAGTATAATAACTGACATGTCAGGCAGCAGAAACAGAGCTTCCAAAATTACTCAGTGGTCTGTCAACAAATGGATAAGGCTGGAAATGTTTAGAAATACTCATGTTGTTCTTCCTCCTTTCCCCAGGCAACAACCATGTTATGCCTGTGTTTTCAAATAAGGTATAATTTGAATGAGTAGATGAGGTTTCTTTGTGTTCAGTCAAAAGTAAATTTCTTCCCTGCTGGTGATGCTGGTATGTAAACTAAGAAGTTACAGTTGCCTTAGTTTGACAGTTTCACTGATTAAAGAATGGAGGCTTTATTCAAACTACATGTGCTGCAGTATTGCAGTTAACATCTCGTTCAACAGGAAGCCTGCCTGTGCAGCCCTGATGTCCCTTGCTCACTCCATGGAAGTCACTCACAGGATGCCTGGCTGTGTGGAGAAGCCAACAGTTACTTATTTGTATGTGAACCTGTGGCTGAAATGGCATCATTTCTGCTGTCCTCGGTGAGACCGGGATTTTTATCTTACCAATATTGTGTAACAAATCAAGGAACTGATTTTTATTTTTTTTTTAATAGCTGAAGTTTCCAAATATAAACTCACCACTGGCTATGTAAACAAAACCCACAGAACAGAAAGAAAAACAGAACTGCTATACTGCAAATGAAATTCTAGATAGTTGAATTATTGTTTAAATAAAGCTTGGAAGAAACAAAAAAGCTGCAATGACTTGTGCTTCAGGTTCTGTAACTGGATTACGTATCCTGCAAGTACTTATAAGAAGTACTGCCTCAAGTGCTCTTTCGTTATCTAATCTTTTTAAAATTTCCAAGCACCGTTTTCCCTCTTGCAGATATTAAAAGGTTTCAATAGTGGTTATGTTTCCTGTCATACTGTAGGTAATGCACACTGATGTATAAAGGACTGATCAAAATCACCCTTTTCAGCCAATTGTTTTACATGTGTTGATCAAAGTTTTGGCACTTTCAGAACTAAACCCATTAACTCACAAACATGACCCTATTTTTAACTGAAAATATACGCAGATAACATGTGGTGAGTTTGAAAGCTGCTATTATATTCCAGAGAGAGCTAATTTAGGGAAACAGAAATTCTTGATCTCTTCTGATAGGCAGCATGTAAATAAAGCAGCCACTATGAAATTCACCATGAGCTCACTTAAAATGTCTAAACCTTTCAAAGCAAATGCTTGAACTATGTGGACTGTAACCCACTAGTGTTTCCTGTGACACACTGTGAATTCTCTGACCATGCACACAAATTATGAAAAGATACTGTTTCTGCAGAATGAAAACCTCATTTACTGGTACAGACAAAGGCAAATGTTTGAAAAAGATTTGATTTGCATTTTTTTATCAATTTAATATGAATGGATGCCAAGTTTCATGCCAGTGGTAGGTTTCTAAAGGAATATACACACATACATATATTCATACATATATATATATATATATATAAAAAAATTTCCCCCCCTATTTTCTGTATCTTCTCTCAAAAACAGCTACAAGCTGGGTATATCTCGCAATCAAGAAATTCCTTAATATCTTGTTGGAGTGCCTTGCTCATTCACTCAGGTTTAAATCAAATGCTAGATAGATCAGTAAGGAGATTTCTCCCAAGCCATTTTGCCCTCTGAAATGAACAGCTATTACAAGAATTGCCTCATCTTGAATGGATGAGGGCCAGAACACAACGAAAGGTCTGGAGAAGAGGGAAGCAACAAAGATGGATAGAGAAGTCAAGGATAAAATGTTTCTTTTGATGTTTAAGTTTAGAGTAGGAGAAGTAAAACCAAAGGAAAAGGGAGTGTTTGTAACAGGTAGGGGAGGCAGAGAAGTGGGGGCACAGGAGGACTGATTTTAGGCATGGTGGATTAAAGAAGTGCGCTTCTCTCTCCCTCTCTCTTCTCTTCTCCTGACTCAGCTCTGGTATGCAGGGAGCCTCAGTCAAGTCTCTCCATGAAGTATGGAGTAATGATGGATGGGGGCTTTGGACAGGGCCTGTCTAGGGAGGACATAAAGGCCAGGAGAGGGTCATTTGTAGCCCACCATCTTTGTTACATAGACCCTCTCAAGGGTTTGTTCACAGGATTGACTAAAGTCTCATTTAAGTAATGGCAAGTGGCATCTAAACTAGCTTTGAAAAGTGGACGTAATAAAAATAGAGTTGGCTGTTGTAAGCTGTGTTTTTCAAACCTGGTCTTTTAAGCAGGATATCCCCTTCAGTCCACAGGGGAAAATGCTAGTACTATTGTAAAAAGCTTAAGTACAACACAACAGCCCAGCAGTTCTCACATCTCACTTTTACAAGACTGGTACAAAGAACCCTGCATGGCAACAACAGGACCAAAAAAGACAAATCACAGGTCACAGTTTAGGAGCATTTGTTTCTGTCCCACTGCTCAGTTTTACATGAGGTTTCCACAGCCGTGGGAGTTTCTCAATCTGTAGTGCTTCTCTTCACATCCAGATGTGCTCAGGAGTATTGGTAAACCTGCATTCAAGCTGATGGATGCTATCACACTGCATACAGACAAGAAGCCAACTGCACTGCTGCGTTTATACAAAGGTTGGCTCTGATACTGGGTACTTTCAATCCCCACAACTGGGAAAAAGTGGGGGCTAGCAGGAGTTGTTGGATTATCCCAGGAAGCTGGCTGCAGAATCA